TAAACTGGTTTGGGCGCGCAAAAATGACGATTACGCGGAACGGAAATATCCGATGAATTAATGGGAAATATCCGTTTAGGACGTCAGGCCTAAACGGATTTTTTGCGCATCTAGCAGAAAATGACATGAATATGCATGTTTTATAGATGAAATTTTTTAGTTTACACATCAAAATACATATTTATCTTGAATGGTAGGTCTAATGACAATGAAAAATCCACTTTTTGTCCATGATTTCGCGCCATTGTGGCAGATTCATAAAGTACCTACATAAGTGTTGAGAGGAACGTCCTATGCTTCAAAAGGGAAGCATTCTAGTTTAGGGTTAATTTCCTTATTTCTTAGATTCAACAATCAGGGTTCAATTCCAGGGCAACCAACATAGCCTTCCCAGCCAGTCGCTCCCTATAGCCACTTGGAACAGCATGCTAGTGCCATTTAGTGCTTGGTACACTGGATATAGTGCTTGATTTATTTTGCTTTAGTACCTACATGCTCCCAAACAATTTTCTCCACCTTGGTACTTCAAACTTCCTAGCAGTGATCAGGGGTGGAGATCTGTCAAGGGGGGGGGGTCCAGGCCGGGCAGATGGAGGCGGACTGAATGCAGTACCATTAACTTACATAGCAGTAATTCGTTTTCAGGGGGGGCCCCGACCCCCCCCCCCCCCCGAGATCTCCACCTCTGGCAGTGATTCAGATAGCTTATGCTTCAGCGAACAGCCACCAGACGGCAGGGCATGCAGGCTGGTTGGGACAGAAACTTGGCTGCATGCCAAAGTATACACAAGACACACAGACAAAATTTACTCAGTGATACTGCCATCTGCCCCCCCCCCCCCCCAGCAATATTTAAATGTTCACCTTATTGTTCCAAAGAAGTAGATTCTTCAGTGGTGGGAAGGTCTCTGAAAGTTTGGTTAATCTCGGATGGTGGAAGCAGGCAACTGGCAAGTTTTGTGGAATTTGTAGAATCATACCTAACCTTACCTACCAACCTAACTTTCAACCTACCATCCTAAAAACACGCCTACATGCCTACAACCTATTATACCAAACCACTTCCTACCATTCTACAAGGTGAACCAACCTACCAAATCACATACCTAGGTACCACTCGGACTTCATCTTCACATCTTATACCTGGTGTGATTGAGTGGATTATTCTATGCATTTTGAAAATTGCACTGATAGTGTCTTAAAGTTTGGTGGTGAGTAGATGTAATTTCTGTTATGACTTAACACTTGGAAATGATGGATATTGGGTTGCACCCGACAGTCAAGCAATGCACCCACAGGTCACATCTACTATACACAATTCACCTAGTACTGATCTGACCCCTGTCTTTGAAGAACTGAGCAGCTAAAAGCAAAAAATGAAAATAAAATGCTGAAATATTCAAGTGCTTCAAATGTGTCAACCAAAAATGTATACACAATCCCGCATCACCCACTTTCATACCAATGTTTTCTGAAGTGTGGCACCATCCTGCACATCCTTTCATGCATTTTCATTTTGTCAACTTACTGGAGGTCCATCATGATGAGCTATGACTATTATGAGCTGTCTTAGCCTTTTTCTGAAACCAAAAAGACTTTCAATATAGATGTGCTCTTCAATGTTGTCCAAGACCTCAATTGTTTACTTGCTTTCTGACAGTTAATCACACTTCTTTTACAGCACACAAGTAAAATAATGGCTTGTGCCATGATTATTTCCAATTCTACATACAAAACTTTTAAGAATCAAGTAAATTAAGCCTAAAACAAGCACAAATAATGCTTGATAGGAGCTGCGCCAGACATGTAAAAATGCGCAAAATATCCGTATTTTTCGGGCTGCCGGCGTAAAGGGAATTATCCGTTCCGGAACGGATTTTTCCGATAAGGCTCATGTAAACGGGGCCACCGAAACGCATTTTTCCGTTCCCTGGCTAATCGGATATTTCCGTTTAGGCTGAATGACTCATGTAAACGGGGTAAATCACTGACATATCGGTACAGGCGTCGGCGTAGAAACCGGCGGGGGACGGGATTACCTCTCCGAACCAAGGGTGGATACAGGGGGAGGGGGGCAATGGGCCATGGCCCCTCCTTTGACGCAAAAAGAAGGTGACCCCCTTTTGGAGCCCCTTTTATATTCTGTGTTCTTTCTCAGAAACGACCCATTTATTCACGATTATTTTCACTTTTTCATCGACGCCAAGGCCAGACATCTAAAATTTTTGTCCCAATATGACAATGGCCGTGTTTAACCATCCTCCAAACCGGAATCATTGAAGGAAAAACAACGTTATTTTTGTCCCATAGGCAGGGGCGCGGGAACTACTTTCCGACTGGGGGGGCACACCATAATAGAGATTAACCTAGGGTACCCCCAAATCTAGTTTTCTCACCGGTTTTAGGCCACTTATTTTTTACCCCTCGGCTTTTTCAACAAAAAAAAGAAAACATTTGCAAAAAAAGTGTGGTATTCCGTCTCAAAGCTGTGGGGGCACCGCCCCCCCGGCCCCAGAGTTGGGGGGGGCAAGCTGCCCCCACTGCCCCCCCCCGGCTCCCGCGCCTATGCCCATAGGCATTAAAGCTTTGAGTAATAAATGACTTTTCTCTTTATGCAGCATTCACGTTCATCTGCTTTGCATGCAGAGCAGGGCGCAAAAAAAATGTACCTCATCACAGCCGGCTTTCCCAATGGAACTTTCACTGCTCACTAATACTAATAGTAATAATTCAAGTTTTGTGCTTCATTAGTTTTTGTTCGGATATCACTGCCCACCTTGTAGTTGAAGAGATTGCAGTTTTGTAGCGCCGTCGTTTCTCTACATACACGACCACACAAAGAACTTTGGAATTGCTCGTTAACTGTAGCTTTTGTGAGCGTTTAAGAATTTCATGTTTTTTGCTCATTTTTGCTCGAACAGTTTGACATCAATTACTCCTGACCTAAGGTGACCTAAGACTTGAAATTTTGTGCGAAGGTTTCAAATTGATGCCCGGTAAGGTACTAAAAATTTGGCGGCGCTGCGCGCCGCCGTTTTTCGCTTTTCAAGAAAACCCACATGGGGGCCAAAATGACCTCCAATCAGGGCGCGGATTAACCTCTCTCTTTAGAAAGGCGTTACTTAATGTTTGGCCGGGGTATACCTACTAGTTATTGATACCACTGATAGGTTGATACTACTGATTGGCATTTGCAAGGGCGCAGTCAAGTTGGGACCTCCCCCGCCCCTTACAGCCAAGGTAGGTGCGTATATTTTTTAGCAAAATTATTTTTTGGCAACCTTCCAAAATAAAGTGGCTGAAACCCGAGGAAAGAATAGGATTTGGGGGTAGGTAAGGTTCTGCGGGCTCCATCCTAACGAAAAACCTAATGGTATTGCCGCCCACCCCCCTTTCAGATGCCCCTGGATCCGCCTTTGCCCCGAACTTTATTCCCCCTCTCAACTTTTCCTGTAAAAGTAACCCTGACTAAAGCGTTTGGTAGCACGCGGTGGTATATGCTGCTTTGCGCGCAACAAGTGCCGCACTTTCAAATAAAGTCGCTAGGAACAGCGGAGATCCCAAAAAGTAAACAAAAGTAAAAGTCTAATATCTTGAAAACTGGTGAATATTGTTCGATGAAATTTGGTAGATATTCGTTTTCGCTCTTTCTGAACCGAGCGACATCACTTTCATGGCAATTCATTAACTTTTTTGAAGGTGGGAGGGTCCCTTTAAGACGTCATAGTTAAGTGACCTGACCTGAAAACGTGGTTGATGTCAAGTGATCCGGCTTGAATGAAATGTAAGGCGTGTGAAATGTCAGCCGTCTATCTTCAGTGTGCTTTGAGCTACCGCAAAAAATACATGGTGGCGGCATCCACCCCTTCTTCTCGGCCGGCGAGGGTTAATTAAACCTCGCTTCGAATTTTTGCAGATAATGATGCGACCGAAAAAAAAGCATTTATCTGTGTCTAGAACGGCCGCTGACTTGTTGGACAAGATCCCCAATCTTAATGAATTCGCTAGATGGGAATAAAATACTCGGTATGTGATACATATAGTTATACCCCTCACGGGTGGAGAATTGTGCTGGACTGGGGGTGCTCGAGCTCTTCCAATTCCACGCCGGCTTGGCTTTGGAGCCGCGGCCGGGCGGCGCGGGTCAAGGTCACCGCTAGGCGGCGGCGGATTTGCTGCGTCCGAGCACCCCCAGCTGGTCACAATTCTCCACCTATGATACCCCTCGATTTGCCCTCGCGCTAAGTCTATTCTAATCATCACTGTCGCTTTTTTATACGAGATGATGTCGCCGCTAAACGGGTTGTTTTGTTTGCTTGCCTGCGTTAAATGGCCATTACGGATTATTGAAGGATTATGATAAAATAGGAATGGGGCAAGGGAGGATATGCACTGCAGGTGTTTAATTTAGATCACAAAGGCATCATTTCCGGCATCGTGCAGAGTCATTATCTCCTATATATGGCCTTGCATTATCTTCCAATCCTCTGCACTGCAGCATCTCTGCGCCCCACACACGGCTTCCTCACTCCACGGCCGGCCGCCGCCAACTGACCCACTCGCCGGGCGCCGCGACCTGACCCGTGTCGCTGCCGCGGCCTGCACAATAGAGTCGGGGCTGGAATCCGGGGGTTCGGCCGGCCGGCCGCCTCTGGAGCGGGGGACTTTTTTAGTAGACCTACTGTACCATACGGATACCCATCTATGGAGTGACAACGCTCGACTGGCCAAGGATTGTAAATGTTTACAGTACAATTTGGACGGGACAGCGCATGCTGCATTCCGTACAGGGCATTCGATACGCATCTTTAATTGAAAAGAAGTTCACTTGGGCTACCTGTGCCTTTTGCGCTGCATCGTTATTCGTTAGAGAACTTATCTTTTGGCCTGTATTCCATCACATCTCTCACTCGCAGTACCACTGAGCCCCCTACCTTTTGCCACGCATTGACCACTGAGTTACCCACCTTTCACCGCGTATTCACCAGGTATCTACCCACCTTTTACCATGTACCACTCAGGGTTGACATCAGGTACGTAGATTTCCTCATCCACTGCTATGATGGCGTATTTTCCAGTGGACAAGTAGCCGGAGACGTACATATGTTCCACAAAGTCCACCAGGAGAATATGTTCGCCAACGAAAACGTACACTGAAAGGGAGAGACATTTGTCAGAGGGAACATATCGCAGACAACTCACCATTCGTTTAGTTTTGTCGATGGTCATCGTTACAAAGGTCGCTTACCTTACCAGAAATGTCATTGGATGCCGTCACTACCATGTTCATAAATACCATCACCGACCGCTGCGGAGGCCACTCACAATGCCAGCGGTGGTCACAGGCGGTCTTTACGGAGGTCGGTCACAAGGTCACTCCTGGCAATGGGCGGTCATTTATCATGGTGCCGTGACCGGTGAATGGCTCAGAAATGCTACCGGACGCGTGTGGCCCCTCTGAGCCGTTCGTTAGGTAGCACAACACTGCTGAATAGAGTGCAGACTGAACACGACTGATTGAAGGAGACAAACGGCCAGAATTCCGCCACCTTTTCCGTCTGAAAGGTGGCAATGGACATTGCCGTTTTTTTAGCAAATGGCAGAAAATCCGTCTTCTCACTGCTGACTGCGCAGTGGTAGTGCTCTTGTAGAATGCACGCTGCACACGTGGATGTTGAATGTATATGTGCTTTTCCATGTCCATTCTTGTCGAGAATGGACATGGCCATCCTGTCTTAGACCAACGCGATGACTGAAACAGCAAATGACTGAAACCAAACAATTTGGGGCATCATGGCCAAACCCGTGATCAATAGATCACAACCAATGATTAGGTTGGTAGGTTATCGGCAACTAGCTGTTTTTTCCTGTTTGAATATTTACTTTTACGTAAAGGTAGTTATTCATAACCATATGTATAATAGCAGGCACACAGACATTAATTGTTTGTGCGTGTTTTTTGTTAACGAGAGCCCCTATTCAATGTTGTATTCTAGCAACTATGCAATATGCGTTGTTGATCTGTCAACAAGCACATAAATGCATAAATATATTTGGACATGACACACATGAACGTCGTATTTCAATGTAAGTTTTAACACAAGCCACTCAGGGCTGTTGGAATACTACTGCAGATATACCCTGTAAGTGTTACGTGTGGGGCTGATGTGGTTTGATTCATGCTCCCATGACATGCATAGAGTACGAGTCCCAGAATGTTACAGTACCATGGGACACGCCACCACGTGTTCTCCACGTGGTAAATGCTTTAGAGAAACGCGACGACTGGTACTAGTGGCATACAGTGCCCTGCACTTGGTGCCGTCTGGGTACAGCCTACGACGCATATTTCGTACATTATTTGTCGAATTTCAGCAGGCATATTTAAAAATTAGATTCAGCTTTATATGAGAATGAATCCCATCATTGTAATGCACTCTTCTTACATCACAAAATAACATTCAACTTTAAAACAGGAAAATAAAATATCGTTTGAAAGAAAGGAGAGTCATAAAGAAAATGTTACACGCAAAAATCAGAAATTCTGCGAGATTGCAAACGATATAAAAACATAAATCCGTCAAAATGAAGACAGCATATTGCACAGACATGTAACTAAAAGTTCCGGCGCCCGAATCCTCCATCTCACACCTCTGACCGCCCTCGCGGCGTCTCGATCTATTTCAATCGATGCGGATCGGCTAAATCTCCACTTTCGCTGGACGGCTCAACCAAATGCATGCCAAGTGCCGTAGGGCCACCGTAGATCACCGATCCGCTATTGAAATAGCAGCACACACCTGACGAAAGACGTGACGCACGGCCGCCGGGCTCGAGCTGCGCCAATCGAGGGTCGCCTCATGAATAACGATACGATCACTGAATGCGTGAGCCGCAAACGCGTCCTGAAGAGTCATCCAGGGACGAAACAACTGCAGACTGATATCGTCTGGTATCTATGGCTAAAATATAACATGGAACCCGCTAATATTACGAGTACGGTTTCGAGCAAAATAGCGATTACGATGGTCTCCGCATTCCGGAGCAAAAAAAAGAAGAAAAAATAATACAATATAAAATAATACAATATAATAAAAATAAAAAGAAGAGAATCTATAGACATAGGGAGTAAAGACGGATAAACATTATGAGAGTGGTTTCGGGAAACAAACCTCTTACATCAGACGCAGCCAATTGCATAAACAATTTAACGTCATGCAGCATTATATAATTGCGTCTTTCAATCGATAGCCGAGAGAAAGACAGAGTGGGAAAGAGAGATAGAGAGAGGGGGGGATCATTCAGACTCACCTCGAGTGCTCTCCCGGGTCCGAGCGATTTCATTCAGCGTGTCCTTGTGTGAGAAGGAGAGGTAGTTTCCGATGTTGTGAGACTTATGAACGTCCACTCCGTGGGCTAGTGCCAGATCCTGCGAAACAGAGACACATTGAAATATGACATCGCCGCAACCATTTCAGCATTACCGCGCGTTCTTATACAGGAACTTTTGTCGGATTGCAGTCTCAAAACAGGCCAGCTATAAACTGTGATTTCATGCATAAGTTAGTAACTAACCTTCTATGAACTTTATTGTCAGGTGAAAATGTTTGTCCCAAAGCAAGAAAGATAAGAAAGCTACTTTAGAGTAAGCAACGCTAATTTACCACGATATTCTTTCGATTCAGCAACCGTTTTGACTTTTGTTTCCTCAATCTGAGCTGCCTCTTGGGGATAAAGCAACTCCTTTTTTCCGGCAAGTAAAACAGCGTTTTGCATTTCTTTCGGCGGGACGGCTCGGAAAATAGGCTTCAATTGGAGATAGTAAGGTTTCAGGTGTCTTTATCAGCTGAGCACCTGCCTGGTGTTTGGAGAGACCTGGTGATTATTAATTGCTGCATTTAGGATTTAACCCTATTAGTGGCAGGGGGGGGGGGGGGTGTTTTTATCCACCCCTCAGGTTTTTCGGGAATATCTCCGAAACATTTCAGCATCGTAGCTGAAGCTACGATGCTGAAATTTTCTGACTTTTCCTAAAACTAAATTGGGCACATTCCCTGAAAATTTCAAGTTCATAACTTTACCAGGGGCGGCTCCAGAGCACTGGGAATTGGGGGTCCTATTCGTGAAGCGAGTCATTTGGGCGAAGATCACGATGCTGCACCAGTTTTACGAACAGTGAATGAAAGGTATCATGTGATAACATATACAAAGTTATTGTGCATCCTCTTTTGACACGTTTTTGTTATAATAGGCGGATCCAGGCGTCCAAAAAGGGGGGTTATGTTTTACCTCCCAACATAGGTGCCCTGACACCGCCTATGCATGACCAATACAATTTTAGTCATTCTCTCATAAGAAAATTGTAACATAACAAGACCATTGCCACCCTTTTTAGAAACAGTACCAACAAAAACCTTATTTACTATACTTTTTGTGTACCCCCAATCTCAATGATCTGTATCCGCCTATGATTTTTGAAAATGCATATTTTTAGGATCCATGTGAATTCCTGGTTCATTCTCTATCGATCGGCAAAAGTTGCGTTAAGATTGGTTCAGAAACCTGGCCGTGATAAACAGTCTAAAATGTATCTGCAATTTGCCCGTTTTTACCCCCCTCTACCCCCCTATTGACATTTTTTAATTTTATTTTTTTTAGAAATGTAGATCTCGTTGAGCCAAATTGAATGCCGTTTGAATTTTGAAAATCAGCCGGTTAGATCTCGAGATATCAAGGGGGGGGTTCGTAAACAGCCCCCCCCCCTGCCACTAATATGGGGTAGCCAGGAGCCTGCCACTAATAGGGTTAACAGATTTAATATTGGACACGCAGATGCCACTGCAGCCTTTCTTTATCAGCTGCGTACTAAAGGATGCAAAAATTATCCAACGTTACATAGAAAATAAAAACATGATGACAGCAGAAGCCTGGACGATGATGTCTTGGCATTAGGACAACAACGCGCTTTCTGATAAATAGTGTACTGTGTTGATTATATATGTTGTTGTTAATGCAGTAGGTACACACACACACAAGATTGATGTGAACAAAGCGAAACAGAACTTCGAGTTTACTAAAAGTGCGCAAAGTTATGTGAAAAACATGGTGAAAAACACAACAGTTGGAGGGACTTCTGGCCAAAAACTAACAAGAAGTATGGAACAAAAAACGTTTATGTTAGTTATATGACAATTGCGTAGCGCCTTTGCAGCTGTGCCCGAGGTGACAGAGCCATCTACTGAGGTGCGAGGCAAACAATTCTATGACGTCACCGGGCATTGGCACGAGACTGCAGATGACAGGACGCACACAGAGCTTCTGTACATGCCTTATGGGGATAGAATGGCCACTGGCTCTGCGTCTGCGCACGTCAGGCGCAGATTGCTCAGCTTTTGTGTGTAGTTACACAAAACGCTGATGAAACGCTTGCGCCAGAGGTTGACCAAGGTTGGGGTAATTAAGGACTTGAGTAAAGATCGATGTCTGGTTCTCTCGCCGCAGTTTGAATGAAACGTAGTGAACAAAACAAGATACCATGAACTGAGGTTTGTTTGTTTGTTTGGTGTTTGTGGCAAGTTGGTTTAAGTGGCAATGAACGTACCTCGATAACAAACTGTTGTGATTTACGTATATAACCGAGGGATAATTTACGTCATCCTCACCCTGATCGCGTCGGCGATCATGCTCCACTCCTTCTTCGTGGAGCGCACCATGACGATGCGGTCCCAGCCGAACCGCAGCAGCAGAGACACCACCGACTTGGAGATCTTGGTGGACGGCGGACGGGTGCGCGCCGTCGTCGGGTAGGTCTCCTTGTCTGAGACGCGCGGGTCAGAGCATTGCTGTGGGTACAGGGAGGGGGTGGGGTTATACGGCTGGTGGCGGTGAGGTGCAGTCCTCTGGCTTTCTGGATTCCCTGACCCATTTTGAGCATGTGCACTAGAAAATGGAAAATGGCAATAAAAAGCAGATCTAGTTTCGACAACACTCACCTCTCCGACCACCCTTGAACCTCCCCCCCCCCTCTCTCTCTCTCTCTCTCTCCCTTTATCTCTCTCTCTCTCTCTCTCTCTCTCTCTCTCTCTCTCTCTCTCTCTCTCTCTCTCTCTCTCTCTCTCTCTCTCTCTCTCTCTCTCTCTCTCTCTCTCTCTTTCTCTCTCTATCTATCTATCTCCCTCTCCCTCTCCCTTCCTTTCCCTCTCCCTCTCCCTCTCCCTCTCCCTCTCCCTCTCCCTCTCTCTCTCTCCCTCTCTATCCCTCTCACTTTCATGTCCTTCCTCTGCTTTTTCGTTTTCTGCTCAGAGATTGTCTCAGCCGCTCCATCTTTCTGCTGTCTGAATATCAGGCCGCGGCCTCTTGAGAGACCGTGTAAAAGCTTCCGCTCCATGCAGCCAGGACGGAACTCACCATGACACGATCACGCTATGGTGCCGTCCCAGGATGCAAGGAGCATGAAGCATGCTATGAACACAATTATTCCACCAGGCTGGCCTCTCTCATGTCACAAACAATAATGAAGACCAACTCAATATATGAACGTACAATGGCGTAAAAAGATAAGAAAGAGCTGAGCTGGAAAGTTCTATGGAATGATGTACAGCAGAATTGGTTCGATTGTGTTCATATAGATAGGGCATTAGTGAGATCAGTTTGTTTCACATTTCGCTATTTAGGTACATGCCTTCTCAGCACTTTCCATCGAAAAACGTGGCATATTTTCCGCTCCCGCGACTGGCAGCTTAGTGTGTATGAGTCAATTTGCGATATGCACGCTTGAAAGATGTGTCCCACGCTTTAGCAAACCCTCCAAACAAGCTAGAGTCGGCGCAGTTCCGCTAGATAGACGTCAGCTGATTCAGATGGTGATAATTTACAGCTGACGATTTTTTCTAAAGCAACAAAGGTATTATCAACGAATGCTGTCCTAGGCGCCGCCTTAATTTTCTCTACATTTCATCCTTATCACATAACACATTCCGGTAGTTGCTGAAAGACGGGCGAGCGTCCCTCTCGTCAGTCTCAACGGTATCACTTCGTGGAGCTCCTCAGTTACACCGCGCGGCTTATATACAAGCCCGACTTTGCCAGCCATTCCGTAACAGGCGTCTCAGCTCCGCCTTTGCATTCTGGAATCAATCTCAAATCCACTTCAGCCATCTTAACCACAAAATGGCTGAAATAGCTTGCGGCGAAAAATCATAAAAGAGACGTCTCCGCGAACCAAAATGATCTATTTTCCCCATATCCTGCAAAATCCCGTCTAACATACGTACCTACTACCTTACATACCTTACCTATAACGCACACGTTGTACAGCGTCACGTCAGTTAGAGGAATAAAATAATAAACAAAATAAATAATAATGAAGAAGAACATCGCCAATGGCAACAAACCATATTCAATGATCGGAGATATATGGGCAAAGTATTACAAACGAATTACACATGAACAAGCGCATTACAAGCTGATTACAATTTGGAGCTGATAGGAAAATCCGTTCCTGATATGCATTTACTTGCTTATATATTTGGGGCCACGGCTACTTTTCAGAATTAGCCATTAGCACGTTTGATCCAGAGGTGTTCACGGTCCGCACAATATTGAGAGAGTCATTTGCGGTCGTTTGGTGACTGCAGTGTGGAGACTGATAGGAGGGCCGCACACCGCGGGCTCAGCTGGTGTCACGCGTAATCAACTTACGGGAATGACGCATTATCATGGATGGCGACAGGGCGCCTATAAGGCCAGCATAAACAGCGGCATGGCCCGGTCAACGGAAATACCCGAACGCGCTCACACTGCGGCGTGCAGAGCGAATGCGCCCAAACACCATAGCGAGGCATAGGTAGGAACTCGATCAACAATCCACAAATGACTATGCCCATGTGCTTATGCATTTCCAGGGATCTAGCTTCAGCTATTTTTATCCGCATTCCCATTTATGTATAGCATAGCAGAAATTATAAAATAGCTGCCAATTGACAGCAGCAACAGTCTCAACAGATGAATTATCAAGCCTGGGTCACATTTCCACATACGCACGGCCACCTCCGCGCCACCTAACATATGTAGTAGCCCAGTAAGTGCCCAAACCCATTCTCATCCACCATTCTGCCTACCCGCTGTTATCTCCCGCTCTCATCAATGAATCGATTGCGCCCCGGGGGGCGGCACTGGCGGTCACCGCGATCCCAGTGCGACATTAGCGCCGTCTAAATTGCGTTAGCTGCAGGTCTGTGAACCGGGTCTGCACCACAGTCGGCCGGTGATTGCCAGCAGAGCTCGCCGCTCCTAAAACGGGAATCAGCCGGCTGGAGCGGAGGCTGTCGATAGTTTTCACGAAATATCAGCTGCTTGGATCCGGTGTGGAAAGTGAGTGTATTGATTCAATTAGATTAACGAGCAGTGCGCACCTATGTAAAGGCTTCCTACAAACACGGAACGGCCATGAACACATCACCATTCCGTTCTTAGCTGTAGAAAAGCGTACTTTGCATCTACTTAGATCGGATAAAGCCCAGCACAATATGAAAATACCTTATTTAATTATATCTGTACCGATATCTTGCTCACAACATTGGCAGAATGTATCAGCATTGAACATGATAACAGAAACGAGGTATGTACGAGTAGAAAAAGAAACGAGTAGAAGTGGTCGTCATGAGCCAAGCGAATGATGTAGGCATTTTGTAGTTGCTGGTCCCTTGAAGGCTCCGACGAGCCGACCAATTCGCGCTTTACCTGTACGTACTTTACAGAGCTCCTGCATAGATAAGCACGGGCTTTGACATGATGATTTTGTTCGCATTTGCACACTGAATTGATCATTGAAAAATAATAAGATCATAAGATCTAGACAAGATTAATCGTGTTGATCCGTCAGCGCAAGGCAATTGAAGCTGCGAGCTCTCCGTTTATGGAAGCAATCAATTTTGTATCTCTCAAATCAAATAATACGGTCACACTTATAAGGTTATAAATTGGAGATGATCCGCAGTCATCACTCATCTCATCGTATCCGTGCTGGCTGTTGGTAGAGCGTCAGGCGACGCCAGTTCAGGAAGGCCAGCGCCCAGCAGAGCGTCGGAGGTACCGCCAGGTCAGGTAGGCCAGCGCCAAGGGAAGCATCGGGGGTGCCGTCAGGGTAGGCAGGTCGGTGGAGCGTCGGTTGTAGGTCAGGTAAGTCCGTGGAACATCGAGTGCCGCTAGGTCAGGTAGGTCAGCGGCAGGTGGGGCGCCGCCAGGTCAGGTAGGTCGGGGTGGAACATCGAGTGCCGCCAGGTCAGGCAGGTCGGCGGCAGGTGGGGCGTCGTCAGGTCAGGTAGGTCGGGTTGGAGTGTCGGGTGCCGCCAGGTCAGGTAGGTGGGCGGCGGGTGGGGCGCCGTCAGGTCAGGTAGGTCAGCGGCGGGTGGGGCGCCGCCAGGTCAGGAAGGTCGGCGGCGGGTGGGGCGCCGCCAGGTCAGGTAGGTCGGGTTGGAGTGTCGGGTGCCGCAATGTCAGGTAGGTCAGCGGCAGGTGGGGCGCCGCCAGGTCAGGTAGTTAGGTCGGCGGCGCGTCGCCCTGTTGCATGCCCTAATGCCGCGCGGTAAAGGTCAGATGTGTGACCGCACGCTGCAGTCTGTTTACCGGACCAGCACTACGCCGGCCGCAGCGCGCTAATTGGATACAAGAGTCAGATGAAACGACCGAGAGAGTTTGATCGGAAAACTCGTAAAAGGAAAATTGTCACCGGGGCAAGCGCCATTAGGAAACGTTCAGGGTAAGATCCGTTAACCATAAATATATACCTGCCTTGAATGTCTAGCCACACAAACACGCACCTTCCTAAAAACACACTCAAACAGAAGCCACGTACATTTTACAGTGCACACACCCTCATTGTTCCCTTATTGATATGGCTTGAATTTGTTTTTTTATGATGAACAAACTATTGTGATATTAAGATGTTACGTTTTTTTTTAACAAATCCAGTTCTTAGCAGATTGTTTTATGCCATCACGATCTTCATTAGTGCACTGTCTTCCTGAAATACTCTCCATCTCTAATTCAATATCTTATAAAAGTGTACTTATCGCGCAAGAAGTTTCTACATAGGCTGAAAAAGACATTGCAAGCAATTATAAATTATCATGATTCTTGTATTTTTACAGTGGCATAATTCCCATTGCAATAACGTTTGTACGAGTATTTGACGAAACCTGTTGTGGAAATTGAAAGCAAATTGATGGGGCGCTTATATTACACCACGCTTCAGTTGAAATTAGTGCTCCTGGGTTCAATAAAAGAGACCATTGTTGGATTTAACTTCAGCCTAGCGAGACCGATGACGTGCTCAGATAGGGGAATTATGCTGGACCAGTCGGCAGGAAGAACGATCTTTGATCTTGAAAGGATGGTCTACAGATCTCGGCGTGAGGAAACATATTGATCGGAAGAGGCGCCGTAAACTGCCCAACTGCTGCCGAAGTTGCGAAGCCCCTGTCGTCCCAGCATTTGAGCTTGAGTCATTAGCATTTGCATTTTATTTATACCCTAATCCTCAAGGCTTACTCGCTTTCATTGAGCGGAAATGTCATTGTCTCCGAGAAAACATTAAATCAAAAATATAGCACGATGGAGCGAACAGGAAAGGCACTTCAACAGGTGACGCAGCTTGTTTGCTTGCGTCCGAATGCTTGAGAAGTGGGCGTTTTGTATACATATCAGTGCATCAGTTACAACTTACAGCGTGAAGAAATGACTGACCGCGTTTGGCTCTCGTCGTCTTTGATGATCACCCGTTCAATTTGTATTTGAGTTTGACTTTGAGTTGTTTCGGTGTATTTGAGCGCTAAAAGGTTGGGTTCTGAGGATCAAAGGCTTCCTTACCCCTAACCAGGAAGCATGACAACGTGCTTACCAGGAAGACGCAAAACGTCACAGCAGCTGAAGTAGTTCAAGTCAATTGGAAGCTAGTGGAGTTCAACATCTAAAGAACTGCCCTAAATACGCATTTCTTTCTGTCTGCGTTCTCAGCATTCCAATCGAGCGATTCGGGCACCACTTGGTGTAACAATGGGTCGGCCTACATCGTGCTCCTGACAATGGGCGCCCAAACAACGGGCTAAGTGGTTACAAGGCGGGACATTCACACAGGTGGACACATAGGAGGGAATAATTGATTCATACCTTCGTCACCATTAGTCGAAATTTCCAGGGTATTAAGTACAGTGACATCAAGCATCCGAAGCGTGCGTGGATTCAGGCCGAAACCCTGCTCCGAACGGCTCACCTGGCCTTTTGATTAAGCACATGTTATTTCTAGCTAGCTAGATGACTCCGGAACTTGTGAAGTGTTCTGAAAGTTGTATGTAATCGTTGATCAATACAGGTTGACGAAGAACATCA